TCTGCGTGCGTATAAAAGAACACTTAGTCGGCAGACGTAAACCAAATACTCCACTAGGCACGAATAGGACGCAGAGACATTTGGAAATTTTGGTTCAGCATTTTCTCTCTTTGGTTATGGAGGTGTTTGGCCGTGTAGATTGTAGTCAACTTGACCTTTCCAGGTTTTGACAAAGGCGAAATCCTCCGAAACGTCAGCTTGTACGCAAATAAAGAAATAAAATAACACCTCGTGTTTGCTGAACAGAAGTAGAAAGAATTATACAAATAAGTGTCTGTTTCTGGACAACAAAAGTATGAGTGGCGGCAACCAGAGATGGATATTCGGGCTCAGGCACTGCTCAGGAACGCAGTAGAGCACGTATCGCTGGAGCCCAGGAAGAATATGAGAAAATTATGTGTATTCCTACTATGGCCCAGGAATAGTTACACTAAGAGTGCTGCTTAAACCTGTGCACAAGAAATGAAAGGTATCAGAAATGGCGTGCAATACATGGACAGTCGCTAGCTCATATATCCTAGTAGTCCAGGAAAAATCTACTTGTCTAGGAGTCAAATCTACTCGTGAAGAAAACCAAAGCTTCCAACAGTAACCGATCGCACAAGACGATACGCAGAACCTCATGGAATATGGGTGCAAGGAAACTAATCAAGGGCAGAAACAGCGTTTCCCACACAATATGTGTCAAGTTTTCTAAATAACGAAAAATGCACCTGATGTTTTTAAGCTGTGGAATCATGTTCATCCAAAAATATTCGAGAAGTTTGTGCTGTCCACCGAGGCAGAGACCCTGTAGTTGTGGACCATGGCGAGCTATCATTTCAGTGAGTGATGCTTCGTTCAATGAATCACAGGTGTCCAAATTTATGAACTGCAGATTCGAGAGAGCTCCCGATTGTAGCCAGGCCTCGACCACCTGGAATGAAACTGCTGAAGTTACGAAAAAATTTTGGAAAATTGTAATTAGGATGTAATTGCTATGGAACTATATAGATCGAATTTCGACTAGGATTTTAATAATACGGCCTTAAATATTTGTGTAGTAATAACCAAGTAGTCCTTTTGCTGTTCTAACTTCTGGTATACTCTTCTCAATGACTTACCGCCCCATGGTGCTTGGAAGGTGTGACTTCTTTTCGGATTACGATGTGCAGCGGAGATTCATCCCCTACAGGGGCTCCCTCCTAAGCTGACCACTAGTCCGACATTTCCATGCGGAAGATCAGCTAAGAGTAAACCAATACCAAAAAACACCCTTGTCTTGGTATTAAATTATTCGCATGGCGGCAAATTGCTCTCTGACCCACAAGGAATGCGGCTGACTGTGGTGGAGAATACCTGAGGAATGCTTCGGCTAGGCTGGCCTCCGTATTTCATGGAAATACATTAGATAAACCAGTAATTCTCAGAAGGATGTAAATTGCGCTGAAGCCTAAAAAACCAGTGAAAAACGGTTATCCGAGTTACCTAAGTAGGTGAGTAATTCTGGTATAACAGTTTGAATTTTACGAGTAAGTTGAAATGTGCAACCGTGTGAACGAATGACTCTTTGTTTTTACGAGTTGTTATATCTTATGAGGTACTTATTACTAGTTTATATTCATTTTTATATGACTAGCTAACGTCTACAATAACCTGTCTTGCTCGAATTTCTCCTTTTCTGAACAGTTCTACTAACAGAACCGATCTAAAACATATGTTACCCATGAACAATGGTTCCTATATGTATTCTTTCTTGATAAGCTTGCACGAGGTTGATAAATATATTTATTTTCGCATGGCATGGACCATCGACTCGGATCACCGGCTCTGAGGAAGATGAAGACGTCGAAACGTTAGCCGAAAATAAATATATTTATCAACCTCGTGCAAGCTTATCAAGAAAGAATACATATTGATTAGTCACACCGAGGTTTAGGGAAGGTCGGTTTCGAGAACTATATACATCGATTTTTATTCACGTAATAAACAGCTACTTTAAAACACCGCTTTCTTCTTTGGAAGTATTGCAGTTATTTGGTGGAGACCTGCCTGACACATTCTTACTTGAGTGAAGACGATACCTGGCGCAGTTTCAAGTTCAAGTTTGAAGTACGCCGAACACTTTAAGACGCCGGTTCCTTCGTAACCGCTTGCATGACCGTCTATGCGGAACGCACAACTGCATGATTTACTTTAATGGTAAATAAGAATAGGATAGAGCTTTCGGCGTTGATCAATCCCTGAGGGATTCGTCATGAATTAGACCTCATTAAACATCGTTTGGGGGTGATTGAATGCATATCTGGTCTTTACAATGGCTCGCGATGGCCTACCGATGTATCGAGCCAATGTTGCTATCCTCCCAGAAAAGTCTGGTACCAATTTGCTGAACACGGAGGGATGGAGGGCTTGGTGGGCCATTGGCGCGGGGACCGATTCCACGCTTGTGTTTCAGGGCGCCTCCGACCACTGCGCGCCAGGCGCGCCCAAACTGTGACAATAGGAAAGGTAATTGTATTAGTTCGGGTACGGTGTACCTAATCTCTTGTAAAGCTTGTGGGGATGAATACACTGGCGAAACGTGTAGACCACTCCGCATATGTGTAAAGGAGCACCTAGTTGAGAAACTAAAAATTAAACAGCACATTCCACTAGGCACCTATAGGACACTAATGCATAGAGCGCTTTTGAACTAAAAGTCACACTTACCTCGTGAAGAAAGCTAGAGCATCAACTCATAAACTCTTGAAGCCATTTGGGTAATTGTTAAAAGTCCAAAAATTAACGGCAAGCTGGAGTGCCTTGTGATCACGCTTGACCTTGCGTCATACCCATAGGCTGATTTTTTGACGAGGGACATTCCTCACGCATGTAAAGCTCTGTGCACATGGTCTCAACAAAAGAACTGATAAGCTTACAAAGAAGAAAACGGTGAGTGTTTAGTTTATTATTAAAATGAGAATTTATCCGTTAAATTTTATCTGCTAAGGTTCCGAATGTGTTTGGCTGCGTGGACTAGATAGCGTGTTAATTTGACCTCTCCAGGCTCTGAAGGAGCCGATACCGCTAGAAGATCAGCTATCGTAAATCAATGAATTCTTTAATGACAACTTCTTATTGGCTCATTGGGAAAACAATGAATTATTACTCAATGCCACGGTTAAAAGGAAGTCGGTTATGGCAATTATTATATCATTGACAGAGCAATCTACGTGATGAGTTTGTAGAACGCAGTCAACAAACAAGTGCTTCTAATTGATTGCTGGTTTCGGGCTAGAAAATCCATGAGAAGCCCACATTTCACCAGGAAGTATTTTCCAAATATAATACCTATAAACTCGGAAAAGCCAATTGTGTGCGTGATTCACAGCAACTTCGCTGGAGTGTTTGTGCTCATTTTATACTAGCACTCTATAGTTATTTTCATGTTTTATGTTAAGTGAGTCGACATCACATCCAAGACACTTAACGGATCCCAGCACTTCTTGCATCCGATTCGTAATCTCGCACCTACCATCCACGAAGCTCCTCAAACTTTTTTCGCGTTTAGGTTCGGCAACTATTGAGAATATTTTACGTTTCCCCCAATATAATTGAACGATGGTCGACTAGATCTTGCTTGGAGTCCTAGGATAACCGTGTTAAGGCTTTCTACACAGGCTAGAGGGAGTGGGCTTCTTCTAAGCAGGTCTAGCGCCATTTTCGCGACTAGGGAGTGACGAGTGTCTCGCTAGGTTGAAGGTTATGTTCAGCCGACGCATAGTAGGTTTCGTTCTGTACGGACACAATGTAAAAATAAAAGGAAGGCAAAAGGGAATGTAAAAATTTGACAGATCTATTACTGTAATAACCTTGCTGTATCGTCCTCATCAAGTGTCACCCACGGAATAAGTGTTATTAAGTGAACGAAATAAGTGAAGCATTTCAGATTTTACCGAGTAACGTTGCATGTGTGTTCTGACATGTGTGCAGTAGATCAAAAACTAGCTTTATTCTTAGACTTGACAAATTGTAAACGACGAATAGAAAGCCCTCCAGCAGTCGTTTTGGTTCACCATCACATCTGGCTATTGTCCGCTTGAACAGTTTTTGCGTTGTTGTAAAATCTCGTGCCAGCCATTTGCAGCTTTACAGTGCATTTGTGGAACTCAATAATTTCCGACTTACGACCTACTACTCAACTGAGGACGTTCGTTTTTCAACATTCGCGTATTTTTCCTTTATTAAAATATGAAAAATACAAGAGACCCGCACGTTTTCACATATCAACTAGCTAAATTCAGCGCCTCCACAATTTTTAGCAAGCACCTGGGCACCAAAGCAAACACAATCGATCCTCGGGTTCCTTCTTGTACTACTCCATATGAAGAGCTTACAGCTCGATCAACACTTTAGAATCATGGGAATTCTCGTTACATTATTTCTTTCTAAAGGTACGCTGCATGCGAGTTCCACGTGCTGATAGGAAGGCTAAACGCAAATCATTGGATTGTTTGTTTAGAGCTGTATCCTTTAGCCGTAGCTACTTCGCTACAGTTTCTAAACAGTTTTTTCTTTCTGGACCACTACACTTTTCGGGGATATCTTGGGCAAAAGCAGCAACCGAAGCAGCACTTTAAGTTGGAAAATCTTCGTGGACAATGGATACGAGGGAACGAATCGAATGTGAGAAGTGCTGGGATACGCATAGTAGACGCGAAGGCAGGCCAAATAAAAAAAATGAAGTAAAAAATTAGTTCTCTAGTACTAATAGAGAGTACTGATCAGGCATAAAATGTAGGTATCTTATAAGTCCAGTTTCTGAGGTAGGCAAGGTAACCGGAAAGCCAGCCATGGTAATTCAAGAACAAGTGCTAACAACCTCGTATTAGCTCAACAAGTATAGTTCGTGGGATACAATTTAATCATTAATGTAGAAGTTTATTGAAAGCTGGTTTTTCGAATCACATCTATATGGTTTTGCAAATGAGTGGCCTTCCACATGAAAAAACGAACTCTTTCTCGGCTTTCATGATATGTTGAACAATAAGCCACTGCATTTCAATAGACATTTAGCCTTTTCTTTCAGCTCTTTTGTAACTTAAGAAATACTGCTTAGCATACTAATTCGTGAGTGTATGAACAAGGTGCTAAAGGTCACTTAAAAATACCAGTGGAGTTCTCCGCCCAACTTCGTTTAACACAGTAATGATTTCAATGCCTTCTTTGGCAAATATGCAACACTGAGGTGGTACTTTCGTGCAAAATTTGCCTCGTTTAGTTACATGAAGACGAAATTGTTCCAAAAAAAAGTTCGATTACTTTGAATTGAATTAACATTCTAGTTTGAATCTTTGGCCAAAGGTGCAAAGTAGCTTTTGGGCGATTTGAGTGCCTTTCATGCTGGGATCACCCAACGACGGTGAGTTCGGAGACCGACCAGTGATGAACCGATCCAGAAAGCAGAATCTCCGACCGATCACCGACGATGTCTCAGCTTCTTACCGACGTCAGGCAGAACCAAGAAAATGTGCATGTTTACATCCCGAACACACTTTGTCAGCTGGCAGGCACACACGGACGATTATAGCATTGCTCTTTGATGTAGGTATGGAAATAACCCGATCAGCGATGAGAGCTGAAACTTGACTTTGGCTGTACGGCGGAACTGCTGTTAATGTCATGTACGACGTAAAGCTAAGCGGCATTTTTACACTTAGCCATAAAGCATAAACATCTAACCCTACATTAGAAAGCTGCCTGCTTTTCTGCAGTGAATCATAGTTTTTCTGCAAAGGGTTATTGCTTCATGGATAATTCTTTCTTCATAGGATGGCAATTCATTTTAATGTGTCGGCATATTCTTTAGTAATCCTAGTTTATAGCCATGGCTTGCAACTTTTTGTAAAGTTGACGTTTCTTTTTTCGTTAAGCTTGCCGCATGTCTCCTTCATTTGTCAAGCACTATCATTCCATTGTTATCCAGAACGCGAATCACTCAATGAGGTGGAATAGACGAATACTCTCGACGGGGTTGATCAACCTCGAACTATTCGTCGTTTGTTAGCAAAAAGAAGCTGGTTAGTTTCCTGAAACATGATAGCAGGTACTCACTGCTCGTGCATGTTTCTCTGCTTGACTTTCACAAATAACTTCATTAATCACGTTGAACAACGCCGGTACCCTTTTTCTAATGCTAAGTGTGTTGACCATTTTTCTCCTTTCAGCATTATTCTTGTAACTTTCTTACATTTCTTTTTCTAAGCACTACTTCCTCTTTTCAAACATTTAGTGTCGTTTGTAGGAAACGAGCCGGAGAACATGATGCTGTTTTTTCCTCCTTGTTAAGTGGATTGACATTGGCCTTTCATCGGAACTTAGTGGAAGCTTTTACTGCGATCGTTTCTGAGATAACATGTTACATTAAGGTCATTAAGCTACAGAAATGAAACTTTATAAGGAGAATTTTTCTCTCTGAAGCTCCAAATCCCGAATAATTTATGCCACTTTCTAAATCCGACGAAGTAATCCCATGTTTTATTATTTGCCATGGACTCTTTCAAACAACTTCGTATTGAGCAAAGGACAATTCCTTCCAGTGTTCTCCGGATTTTTTTCCAATTAATTTGTCAAATATTTGTGCCAGTCACATGGAAGACGCAAGTTGTTTTCGTGCATCTCTCCGACGCCTCTCCACTTCACGACGTGAACTCTACCGACCGAGCAGTTTCTTGCCGGCCCGTAGCCGCTATAATCCCCACATCTCGCTGGATTTTCTGGCCTGTCCGTTGTAAACCCATGTTCAACTAACAGCAGAATTGGCTTATCCTTATATTCGTCGTTGTACAGATGATTGTTCCAATTTACTTTCACAAGTATTTGCTAACTTTTTTCTACCTTATTTCTTTCGACATACGAACAATAGTTAGAGAAGGACTCTGGGTTGTGGTTAATATATTCTTGTATATTTTGTGAGAAAATTACAACAGGAGGTGGAAAATTGCGAGTTTATGAATCGAGGCATCTTTTGACTCTCTCAAAATCCCCACAGTGATTGTCAAGCTCGTCGATCGATTGCATGGACAACAGCATGAGGAAATTCTTGTCTTAGATCTAGCCGTGTTCACAAGAAAAGGTCATCTTTGAATGTCATAGTTACTAGCCGTCTACAATTTCTTCTTTCTTGAATAACCTGGGTAGGCCAAAGCAAAACGGTACAGAACTGGTTGGGTCTGACTCATCATTACTGCGACTTTTACATCTCTGCTTTGCATCTTTTTGTCTCAGCCTATAAGCTTTGCTTTTCTGGCGGATCACAGTAGTCCCTCTCATGAGGGCCTGTTTCACTCTGCGGGCCAGTTCTTTCAGCTGCGAACTCATAAGTTCGTTCTTCTCACGGAGCAGGAGTCTAAACTGCGGAAGTCTTTTCTGAAGATGGAAATGAAACAACAACGCTCGTCGAAAGAAGTCAGTTTTATGTATCGTACATGTACTTCCTATGTACTTCTCTGTCGTATTATAGTCATTTCTTAACGCTTCTTTCTTTTTAATTTAAGATCGTCCATTTATATTTTCCTGTGTCTACTTCGTTCCACTTCTATGCATCTTCTATGCATCTATGAATCTATTTATCAAGATAATTTACTAATCTCTACATAAATCACTGTTTAAGCGCTAAGTAATCTTTATGATATCCCTAGTTCTCCCTAGATCTCCGAAGGTTCTTTTGTAGAATTTAACTAGTTTTCTAAAATTTTATTTAATGGGACCCATCTTCACGTTTACTTTGCGGATCCCAGCACTTCTCACATTCGATTCCTTTCTTGACATGCATCATCCACGAAGGTCTTCCAAGTTTTACGTGTGGGTTCGGCTGCTGCTTGAAGATTTTTGTTCCGTCTTGAATGTCGTAGAATGCTGGTCGAGTCGATTCTCCTTGAAGTCCCGAGATAGCCAGACTGGAGCATTCCCAGTTGGATTGCAGAGAATGATTTTTCCCGAACAAGTCCAGTACAAGTTCCTTAACACTAGAGGGATGAGATTCTCGGTGAGCCTATGGCAGAATCGGACCAGCACCGTGTTCGTGATGGTCGTCGTCAACACCACTGCGCTGCCCCGCCCCCAAACCCTAACTAATTGTTACTTATTACTATTTCGTTAGGACCTGAAGTGAGAGCTTAACGCTCGTGAGCTGCAGTGTATTTGATATTTTTCTACGTATAACAAAGTCGATTCCACGTTACACATCTGCTCTATCAGCTGGACATTGAGACAGTGGGCTTTCCCAGATGGGTTTCCGAGTAAGTTCTTGTTTTCCGATATCTACAGCTGAGTTTCGAAACACATGTTATCCCACCGAACATACTGTGAGTATTGTAGATCGCAACGTTTAACTTCTTATTTACCGTCTATTACTTTTTTTTTTACTACACGGTATTATGTGAAATACAACCACAGTGATGCTGAGATATGAGATATTTGCAAAACTTGAACTCAATCCAGATTCGAACTCACGATTGCCATCACCGTAATACATAATACCCTGCCGAAAAAATAGTAGGCTATAAATAAAAAGTTCGGCCTTATGATTTCGACTGCAGCCTAAGCTACTGGGTTCAACACGGTTGTATGCTCCCCAGATCATTCTCGTTGATGAGTAACGCTAATTTTGCTCGTTTGCTAATGTCACTGTTAAGGTAAAAAGTTGCCTGAAAGAAAACCAAAACAGGCGTGTGCAGCGGGTAACACGTAATAGGTGGTAGTCGGTAGTGGTAGTCGGTAGTTCAGATTTGGGCTGGGTTCAAGTTTTGCAGCTATCTCAGCACCATTGTGGTTTTATTGTAGTCTGATTAAAAGGTATTTATCCGCGATTGATTAATCAATGAACTTAGGGATGCACTACGTATTGGACTATTTAAGGGTCGTAAAGGTGATCGAATGCATATTTCACCTATACATTATAGTGAATGTACTGCATGGCAAGTCCAATGGTTGCGCTACATATGCCCAAGCATTATTAAAAAAATGAAAAACCAAGGTAACTTAGATGAGTGACTAGAGGAACTCCCACGCAACAGTTGGCGTCGAATGTTTTATTCAGTGCTGTCAGTCTGCATCAGTCTATAGTGCATCTGCAACTTTTGCCGTGTGTGCAAACAGCGTCTGCAACAGAAGACCCTCAGTGAGAGTTCTTATCGCTCAAGATTGTATTGATACTTAAGCATTCTTCTTTTCCTGTACCGCCTCTTTTCTTACTCGTTATTGTTGACCTTTCTTCATATTCTGCATATATATATATGTATTATAATCACTATTACATTGCTTAATAACCGTAGCAAGTATCACTGTTACTATTGCGTGATCCAATGTCACCTGTGTCACACTGTTCAGATTCCGCTGCTTCTGGAATTTGATTCCTTCACCATCTGCCAAGGTCTTCGAACTTTTCATTTTGGATTCTGCTACTAGTTATAGTACTAGTAAATGCTTTCTAATCCAGTTATTGCGAAAATCCCACTTTCTACAGCCCACATTACACGCCTCTTCTTCTACTTCCTTTGTGAAGCCTGGAATTTCAAACAATAGCGGACGACGTGGCAGTTTGTATTCAAGGTTTCTTACAACAAAGTACGGGTGTGTCCCGCAGTGAATCGTTTGTGCTTCCAACTACCCCTACTAAACGAGAAAGGATAAAGCTCTCGGCAGTGACCAGGCTTTATTAAAGTCGGCAAACATTCGCACCGCTTGGCTAATGGTTGGTTTTATAAGGACGATGTTGTAGCAAAGCAAAGCGAAGATAATGTAACTGCCGACTTTCGATTTTAACTCTCATTTTAACCCATTTCAATGTTCGGATGACGTTCTCGAGGGCGACGGTAGTTTTGGCTCAATAGTAGCGCTTATCTAAGCCTTCTTTTGACATCGATGTCAATAATATTGTATAATGGTGATGTCTTCATTGTGAATTTCTTGTACAGCTCACGAAGAACTTCTATCTACTGAGTAAGAACTCCTTGACTATCCAGGGCTTCCGCGACCGCTTCTCTCTCAAACGAGTCAAAAACCTCTAAATTGATGGACGTGAGATAGAGCGGTCTGTTGTACTCTTGCGACACTTCAGTGCATTTTATTATCGCGTGGATGCGGTCCATCGAACAAGATGCTTTTCGAAACCCTACTTACTCACATGTCGTTCTTCGTCCAGTGTTCCGTCAATCCTGTTTAAGATGATTCGATTGCACATTTTGTAGATGAGAGAAAGTAAGCAGTTTAGGCGATAGTTACTTGATACTTGATAGTGGAACGGCCCATCCTCACTAGTTGTGCCGACCCCAGCATAATCACCATTTTTTCGAGACTTGCTGGTTAAGCGATTATAGTTCCCTGGAATCCCGAGGACAGCCTGGCCAAAGTCTGCCCTAGGGCCAAAGTCTACCACTACAGGCAGTCGCAGCCCTTGTGGATCGGAGGGAGATTTGCCACCATACTACTTTGATACCAGGACGGTGATGGGCCCTGCTATTGGTTTGCTCTTAGTTAGGCTTCCTGTTGGAAACGCCGGACTCCTCGCTTTAGGAGACTCGGACATTCAGGAACACCTCAAGCCACGATGAGGCGGTAAACCGTTGAGAGAATTATATTGTGTAGATCACTGTTCTTGAACAATAGCACGGCTTTCCTGGTCTTCTACTGAGTAGAGACCTTGCATTCACTGTGGTAACGTGTGAAGAGGCGAGCCAGCGTGTTTATGAGAACTGGCGGAAGGTTCTTCAGGTGTTCATATCTTTTCCTGTCCGGACCTGATGTCAGTCGATTTTTCACTGAAGAAATAGCATGTCGTATTTCCGAAGAGAGAACCGGTTGTACGTCACATCCATCATTTATTCCGTATGAGAGCAGGAGAGCGTGGCTATTGAAGGGACCTGAGCAGTAATCGTGAATGATTTTCCCCATTGCATTCCTGGAAGCTGTAACTGTTCCGTCTGGGCATCGGAGTGCAGTCGTCATGGTTTTTCAATTTGCGAAGCCTCAGTGGGCTTCCTTCTGCAGCGTCTGCAGCTTCGAACAAGACTGCGGTTCTTCTTTATTTAAGATCCTCTTTTATCGCCAGTCTGTTTGTTATGTAAATTTGGACGTGAATTGCGGGCTCCCTGTAGTTCATGCGATTCCACGCCGGCGTATCAGCTCGAGTGTTTCTGGAGAGGAGCGTCTCTTAGTGTATTTAGTGGCTTTTCATTCTTTCTGCGAGAAATAAAATTTTGCACGAAGGAGACGATGGACTGGTCGTGAGTAGATTTTTGCGACTACGACGACATCGGTAAGGCAAAACTTTCGATTTACGATGATATGTTCTATTTCGTTGCAGTACCCTCCACTGGGAGACTCCCACGTCCAGCGTTGATGGTGGGGTTTTCGGAATTGCGAGTTAACACGAGCGGTCTGGATCGTCATGGTAAACTCAGACAGCCGCTTACCGTGCTCATTCCATTCTAATCCGTGGGTCCCAGTGTGACCTTCTTCAGAAATTTTTCCGGTTCCAATCTTATCTTTAAATCCAATGATGACGATGAAAAATTTATGGTCTTCTCTGTAAAATTTCTCCAAGTCCATATAGAACGCAATAACTTCTTCGTCGTCGTAAATTTATGTCGGTGCGTAAACGACGAAGATTATCAAAGCCGGTATTGATCCACATCTCTTCAATCGTAAACGTCCGATTTGGGTTGTTAGTTGTCGAAATGAATCGACGTTCATGACCAAACTCATGTTGACGAGAACGCCGATGCCGCCGACTCCTCTACTGTCGCATGTTCCGAGGAACAGTTCTCTGGTGTCAAAGACGGCGTTGAATGGTTGGAGTTTTCTCGTCTCATCCAGTCAGATGACGTCGTACGTAATCCTTCTTGCCTGCATGATCAAGTCTTCTGTTGAGGACTCAGATGCAAGTGTGCGTACATTGTGGGAACAAATGGTCGCCTTAGTTTTTTGCAATTTAGGCAGCCTAGAATGGCCCTGAGATTTTAGCAGCCTCTCCGTAGTCATTCTACCCAATTCTGTTGCAAGATCATAGGAATGAGGCCAGTTTATTTCGCTGTGCTTAGCTTGTTTAGCTTTTTGATGTTCACATATAGCTTGCTGAGTTCTGATCGTGCAGGCTGAGTGTACTTACGGGTAGTTTGCAAGTCTCTTCCATTGTAGAAATAGAGCTTGTTTGTTGGAAGCGACTCCTAACCGCCTCCCATTTAGTTTCCTGTTGCTTGAATGCAGCATTTTCGCCGAATTCACTCGTATAATACAATTCACATAAACGAGAACACACCCACGCACCCAACCACTAGTACGACCTCCTAAATACAGAATGTATATACGAAATCGGGTCCGCAGAAACAGGGAGCCCATCCCTTATGTCCACTTACGCATCAGAGAAGCAGAGGTCGCTTTTGGTCCGCCATTAACCTGTCATGCGCCGCCACCTGGGGACGCGCTACGTTGGTCGAGACCAACCGGCATGAGATCCCTCTTTAAGGGAGATCAGGAGAATGTATAGAAGTGTTAATGCCATGTATCCGAAGACGTCGCTGTTGGATGTGTGTGTGTTTATAGAAACTTGTGTTTTCTTATGGTATGATTGAAATCGTTTCGATTCTCAGCAATTCTTGATGCTGGATTAGTCGTGATTGTACTCACTTTCTCAATCAGGTCCTTCTTCTTGTTATTTCATCCATTAAGAACAATCAGCATTTTTAACTCTTTTATTTCCCGCGTATACAATTTTTCGCGGCAGGACATTATGTGAAGTACAATCACAATGATGCTGTGACATTGAAAAACCCCGGACCTCAAGTGTCTCCGATGGGGAAAGAACACGCTATTACCTTTTCGCGGCTGACGTCTTCACCACCGCACCATGCGGGTGCTTCGTTTCGTCTTTTTCTCGACCAGTCTTCTACCTAACGGTGCCATGAGAAGTTACTGTCAATGCTCCCAATTACAATTTTTCACGGCAGGGTGTCATGTCAAAGTTAACAAGAGAACATACTTTCAATAATTTCATACTTACTTACTTGTTACTTGAACGGCCCGTCTTCACTAGTTGTGCGGACCCCAACACAATCACCATTTTTCGGAGATTTGCTGGTTAAGCCATCGTGGTTCCCTGGAATCCCGAGGGCAGCCTAGCCAAAGTCTGCCCCAGGTCGTCACCACGGCAGGCAGTCGCAGCTCTTGTGGATCATAGGGAGATTTGCCACCATGCACCTTCGGTACCAGGACGGTGGTGGATCCTGGTATTGATTTACTCTTAGCTAGGCCTCCTGATGGAAACGCCGGACTCCTTCTCAGCGGGAGACCCTGCCGGTGGGATGAATTCCCCGCTGTACATCGCGGTCCGACACCCAGCCACGACGAGGTGGTAGACCGTTGGGAAGCAATAATTTCATAGAAAGCAAGAATAAAAGAGACCTCTTAAGGTATTCAGCAATCCTGTCTGCCGTACGTATATCGTGAAACGTATGACTGCTATATTGTGATTTTTTCCTTACTTTCCAGGCGATGTCCTTTGATCTTGAGAGCTGTGAACTATCATCATCGTCGTGTTCCATTGAGGACAAACTGCCTTCAACGAACAATTTGATTCGTGGTAAAGATGGACAGTACGCGGTTGGTCGAAAACTAGCGCAAGGACGCTATGGAGCTGTGTTTGAGGCCGGCTTTGAAAACATTTTTTTCTCAAAAATGAAATTAAGAGCGAGGCGTTATTAAGCCACGAATTCTACCGATATGCATCGACATAACTTTGCCTAATATCTTATTTGATGCTTTATTTACCTTGCATGTTCAAACCATTGTCTCTAGGTGTGTGGTACTTAATCAAAAGGGGACGAACAAAGATAGAGTTTTTTAATATTTGCTTTTGGTACCCAGATCGGTGTTTTTTAAACTGCTCCACAAAATTATAGTGGTCTTCGATTTTGTGACGCTGTCACTACGAGTATTAGAAGGCGCTCATAATTTTCTCATCGAAGTGTTCAAGGCGATTTGATCAGTATTACTTCAGGTACTGCGCAAATCCGATGGAAAACCTTTCGCATGTAAATTAGAGGTCTGTAGCTCGAACTCTCATGGGCTCGATATGGACTACGTGGTGATGAGTCAAGTGGCTAAAAGAGGTACTCGACTTTTTTCTTGGTTAGTTTTCTCAAAGTACCCTTCTTTCCGAAAGTTCACCTCATTATGTCAGTCGTCAATTTTGTTGTTATTATAATTTGGTGGAGAAATTGCCATTTCTGCTGCTGTGAAATTTGTAGATAAGTTTTGTGACAAATATTTGCTCCATGCATTGCTGGTATATTTTTATTTTCATTTTACAAAGAACACAGCAACAAATGATTTTTGAAGAAATAAATTAATTGAGATGAACACAATGTTCACATAACAGCGAATTAATTGCTACTTACTTACTTGGATACTTGGACGACCCATCGTCACTGATTGTGTGGAGACCAGTATATTCTCTATTTTTTGGAGATTTGCTGGTTTCGCCATTGTGTTTCCCTGGAGTTCCTTGCCAAAGTCCGTCCCAGGTCATCACCATCATGCCCAGTCACCGTTCTTGTAGATAGATGGGAGATTTGCCACTTGTTTGATATCAGGACGGTGGCGGATCCTGGTATCCCTTTACTCTTAGCTGGGCTTCCTGGTGGAAACGCCGAACTCTTCAGTTTAGAATACCTTGCCGGGGAATGAATTCCCCGCTGCACATCGTAGCCCTAAACTCAGGAACAGCTCCCAGCCACTATGAGGCGGTAAACCGTTGGGAGGGAATGAATTGTTTGTGTATACTGTATACTTTGAATCTCATTTCTGGCTCAGCTGTGACGAGCGAATAGTGAATTCTATGCGAAAACTGAGATTTAATGCAGAGAGGTTGGACGGAGGCTTCTAAACATTTTCAAAAGCCGAGTTCACATCAATGAATAGTATGACGACTTAGTTGCGATGAGTTATGATGACATTTCCCTTTTAAACAAATGGAATTATCTGGTAAACGTCTTAAACCTTTACAAAACTTTAGCACCAGACGAATATAGTTACGAAACAAATGAACAGGATGGGAATTATCTACACCTACAAAAATGCAATGTGTATATCCAAAATTAGTCAAAAGAAAGAGCTTTTCTTCATGCATGACGACGTGACGACGCTCTACTGCCCATTGCACTATTACTGCTCCAGAAATTGCAAGGCTAGGCAACGAAACTGCCACATCTACCATACTCAGCTAACCCGCCGCTAAACATCCGGCACCTTTCTCGTACCCTGACTACCACTATTTGAGGAAATCTTTAACAGTTTAACCGTAGGGATGTGGAGAATTTGTTTCTTTTACAACTTAAGTATTTAATGTTATCGAAATATTTAAACCTGCCGTTTGTTGCCAAATACGTGTACATTCGACACATCCACTATTTCATTGTTGCCATCCACAAACGGCCATGAGTTTCTACTGTCTTGTTGGTAGTTTATATAATATTGTTTTATCCTTATCTACTGCCTATCGCTTTTTTCATGGCCGGATACAATGTAAATTCCAGCTACAAGGATGCTGAGCAAAAATGAAACCTCAGTTGGGCTTCAAACACGTGATTATCTTTGCCGGTAAGCGTAATCGTGAGTTGGAAGCACAGATGAGGATCCGAGTTTTGGCCATGTCTCAGCATCCAAGCTGTTGAATTCCTATAACACTTCACTTGTACTCACAGTTAAAGAAGTGTGAGAAAAAATGTCCATGCCATGTGATTCAGAACAACACTTTAAAAATGGAAGAGCTATTCCACTTGCACTGTTAGATGAAATTTCACAATTCTTTAGGTTGTAACAATTTGCTGAGTTCGATAGATCGTGGAAAAATAGAGGACCATTTCAAATTTATTATAATGCCTTTGGTAAGCTATTTTCGATTTCCGATAGCTGATGTTAAAGTGCTGTCGTTAAAGTGTTTTCAGTTGGGTGACAACCTCACGAAGATTCGCCATCAGTTCGTCGACGGCAGGCTATCGCTCTCGTCCGGCCTACGTCTCGCATTCTTGGCCCTGTCACCTATTCAGGAACTGCATAGCATTGGCTTTGTTCACAGAGACATCAAGGTTCGGTTTTTTCCTCTCTCATCCCACTTTCGTTGTGATCTTTAGGTTTGTTCTATCACATGAATATGTTGTCATTATTTAAATGCAGAAGAATAATCGATAAGAATGACTAGTTGGAGAGCAGATTGTTTGCCGAAATCGAATGTATCGCAGCGACACGAATACTTATTTGAGCATTAATTGCAGTGCTCCAATTTCTGCCTTGCTCCCCATTCGTCTAAAGGAAACACGCGACTTGTGCTGATCGATTACGGTGTTTGTCGTGCATATAAGGATAAGAGTGGAAATTTAAAACCGCCTCGTGAACAGGTTCGATTCCGGTAAGTCCAGGTGGAATCCACATTATCCCACATTTTTCAATGGGAAAGAAACATCAAATGAGAGGCCCAGCTAAACCACCTCATGGCGTTAATATCGTTGTTCGTCGCCTTTAAGAGAAAAAGATGCGCTTCTTATCCGAAATCTGTAAACTTTTACTAGCATTTGTTGAAAAAGATGGCAGATTTTCACGTTGGGGAAAAAGTTAAACTAGTTTCCAGTGGTACAACTAGATATGCGTCCCTTAACACTCATAATGGCCTGGAGCAGTCACCGCGCGATGATTTGGAATCGTGGTTCTATATGATGGTGGAATTGCTATCAGGTAGGTAAATGTCTAGCATTGTATTTTACACTAATAATTTTAAAGTGTTGAGGAATATGTCCTTCTGTTACTTTCAGTTTTAATTTTTTTTGCATTCTTTTTCATTTTATTGATGTAGTAGAACATTATGCCCTGTACATTTTTCTTCATTTTATCTATTCTGGCCCATTATTTTAGTAATTCATCCATTCGTTTTGTAAGTTTTATAAACAACTAATGATAGCGAATAGGTTTTCTCCCTTGGTCCGATTTTCATCATGATGCTGTCAATGAAGTCCGCGCCTTGAAGGAGCACGTGCGAACCAACGAAGGAGCGACGATGATGTTTCAATTCTGTCCAAAGGTCTGATTTTAGCGACTAATTCAAATATAAGGGTGAATATAAGTCATTTGCGATAACAAATGGTTGACAGTCATTGCAGCTACCATGAAAAGATTATTTTCCTGAAAAGTTCGTTCTCAGCTGTTTGGTGATAATCTATTCATCTTGGGTGTTGTACCAGGATTTCCTACCATCTCCGCTATATATTTTTTGTTTCAACATTCTTAAGTTTAAGCCTTGAAAAATTTTCATTCTTTTGCGCAGTATTTTCTAATGTAGGTGTTTAACCGTTCGAAATTAGTTCATTTAGCTACATTGGGTGCTTCAGGTTGAATTTCGTCGCGTTCAGAAGTACCTCGACGGGCTAACGTTTCAAGGTCAACCTGACTACACTTTCATCGCAGAGATGGTACAACTAGCCATGAAGAATAACGGTGTTAAGATGGACGAACCATATGACTGGGAAGAATGAAAATACGGAATACGATAGGATGTTACAGGGTCAGCCCGAAACTGTTGACCTTGGCACATTCGAGAATTAGAACAGTTCGAGCTCAACATTCGTCATCACAGCATTCAGAAACGAATTGTGCCAATCTGTTCAGAAGCTTCTTTTTTCAGATGTGGTTGAGCTTATGAATAACAGCGAAAAAATCTTGAAACTCTTTTATCATTTGCGATACCGCTTTACGTCTGAATATTTATGTATAATGTGTTTACTTCCTTTTTTAATCTGTCTGAGTAGTTTACTCGAGAATCAAAATGAAAGTGTAAGGAATCTGTGGTGTGGAATTTATGCTTTTCTCATTTCTCAAGAACTATCACTTAGTTTATGTCTCACTAGCAGGTTTTGCTCTGCTGACTTGCGATTGTAAACAATCTCTCTTCTCTTCGTTGTACCGTTTATCATCTGACATGATGTTAGAGGAAACTATTCATTGTCATTGCTTGTTGTTCCGTTAGTTTGCAAAATGTGTCTGTATTCAGCTTGTGATACGTTTTTTACTGTTCGTCACTTTACAACTGGTTAATGAAGAAACGTCTGCACACCAAATGATTCCAAAAGTGAGAGTTTTTCGCAATGGCTATTAAAATTATATGGATGCTTGGAATGGGATGCACGCGATGTGAGAGAAAAATCTTGAGAGAAATATATGTTAGTGGTATTTAGCCTGATAATAAGATGTCAGCTTCAAATTCAGCAATACTCCCATTCGGCTTTGGGGGGATCTTCTCCAGTGTTCTGCTTCGCCCTACCTAGATATACTTCCAACGAATAAGTCGCACTCTCAACAGTTTCAATAACAGTGAAGCTTAGATATTTGCAAAACTCCGAACCTTTGATGTCTGTTGTGGGAAAACTATCTGAGAGACAGGTCAAACGAAGGACCCGAATTGTGTGGTGGTGAACCCGTTTTCCCCTGGAAAGGGTAATATCGCGTTCATTCCCCACCGCAGACACCAACGGTCCGGAGTTTTGCTAATATCTCAGCATCATTGTGTTTATATCAAGCCCTGAAAAATCCTGCCCTGAAAAATTGTAATAGGCAGTACATAAAAAGTTAACATTGTAATTCCAGTAGCACTGCTACTGCCTGTCTGGCATTGTACAGTTCAGTAATAGTTTCAACAGAGCCTTTCACAATGTCCTTCTCGCTTGTCTGTTCCTCTATTTTAGAGAGGTAATCTTTTCACTGACTTCTTCCTCGTGCGCAGTATAATACATGTGAGGTTTCAATATGTCAGCTACCGGTGTTGCTTGGTACCAATTTTGGAATTTTTACGATATCAATGCAGACTGAGACGAAGGACAACAAACCACTGCTAGCTGTGGTGTTAAACTGATGATGCCGAAATTTCGTGGTGAAATCGTCTCTGCTAAGATCACAAAAATTCCGCCGTTGTATTGAGGTGTCGTTCTTGTCGCTCAGCTCCTTCGACAAACGACTACAGACGTTCCCAATTTGTAGTTTATAATTCTGTTCAACTTCAAGCTGATTATAGTGTTACTACCTTCTGTATTATCCCCACAATTTATTCGACAGTCAAAAATCGTGCATATTATATACGATGGACTATTACAAGCCTTTATTTCAGATTGTGTTTAACACTCATGAATCTTCTTGCACACGTCTTCTTCTGCCGTTCCCGACTCCAGTTCTTCAACAATTGGATCCAGATGTTTTTCGATAAAGTTTTCGCATTCGAGGCTTAGAAACGGGTTCTTGATTTCCTTGCATTTTTTGCCGAGCTCCTAGATTAATCAATAGTTACTGCAAATGGATGGTATAAAACGAATTTTTTAATGTTACTAATGCATCTTACAACAGGCAACGTACATAAGTTTGCAATTCGTTTACCTAATTATAACCTATTCGTTCTAGAAAACTGATGAATTCGGTGAATTCTCCCAACGGTCGACTGCCTCATTCTGGCTGGGAGGGTTCCTGGGTGTCCGACTGCGATGTACAGCGATGGGATTCATTCTCCCGGTAGGGTCTCCCAAGCTGAGAAAGGGTCCGGCGCTTCCATCAAAAGGCCTAGCTAAGAGTAAACCAATACAAGGAGCCCACCACCGTCTTGCTATCAAAGTAACATGGTGGCAAATCTCCCTCTGATCCACAAGGGCTGCGATTGCCTGCGGTGGTGATGACCTGGAGCAGACTTTGGCCAAGCTGACCTTGGGACTCCAGAAAAACACAAGGCAGAACTCTGAAAAATGGAAAAGGTGCTGGGACCCGCACAAGCAGTGGAAACGGGCCGTCGAAGTATCCAATAGCTTTCTTCTGTTTTATGTTAGTTATGTTGCTCTAACATAAACTGTACCTCTTTCTCATTTCTTTTCGTGTTTATTATTTAATTTAATCGCCATGCGGGTAATTTCACCGCTAACTTTTACTGGGTGAACCTGTGCATAGCAAAACTTCCCGCTGCAGCGAATTTCCTACGCATGCTGCAACCACGAAATATGTATCCGTTGCCATCGAATAAAATTGCTTCAGCAAATCATTTTCCCATGTGGAGTTTTGACTAAGCAGTAAGGTTAAAGAAATGCTTGAATAAGTAAAACAAGGTCATGTTCTTCTCAAAAGATGTCACTTTTCTTCAAAGTGTACCTTTTTATGACTTTACGACGTCTGCAGCTTTGCGGTTTCTTTCTCTACAGTTAAACTCACTACTGAGGTTGGATAACTCCGGTCGGCCTTACCCTGGCGTTATACAGTTGTTGCGGTTACAGAACCAACAAAACTTTTAGTTCTCCCGTTGATTACAGCTCATTGTAATTTCATTCGGAAATATCAACGTAACGTTTACTTTTTACTTTCTGCCTTCTATTATTTTTATGGCAGGGTATTAAGCGAAATACAACCACAAGTTTGCTGAGATGATTTGCAAAACTCCGGACCGCAGCTGTCTGCGGTGGGGAACGAACGTGCTAATGTCCTTCCCGGAAAGTAACGCTTTCACCACCATACCATGCGGGTCTTTCGTTTCGCCTGTCTCTCAGTTAGCTCTATCGATAATTATAGCCTCAGCTTAATTGGGTTCAATGCGGATTTGGGCTCCTAGGTCAATCCCGTTGACGGGTGATTGCTGATGGCAGGAGATCAATAGAACTAGCTGGGAGATAGGCGAAACCATAAACCCGCGTGGTGTGGTGGTGAGCGCGCTGCTCCCCGGAAAGAACAATAGCGCGTTCGTTCCCCACCGCAGACACCTGCGGTCCGGAGTTCTGCAAATATCTCATCAATCTTGTAGTATCAACGTATTTTACCTGTTTGATTTTTTCAGCTCCTTCGTCGAGTAGTGGAGAGACCACATGTACTGCCATCTTGCATAGCATACATTTGACTACACTGCTTTGCATAGGAGGGATCACCACAGTCAGGCAAGTGGCAACCACGACAGCCAGGACGAGTAGATGACGCATACTTGGAGTTTGAAGATTTTTCTGTGTCACACGTGATTTGCACTGAAGAAAACACCTAGTTCAACAATTTCAAAAGATGGTGGCATAGTTATCCATGGTGGTGGATTTCTTTTCCAAAATTGTTAGGCATTAATACAAAATACAAATATGCTGCTATTAAAATAGCGATATGGATGCATCTAGTGAAAGGTTCTAGCGTGGAAAAACTTCTGAATCAAAGGCGATAAAAAATGAGGTCGTGTTGAAGACTTTACATATTTTAGACCTAACAACATAAGAAGAATGAATAATTGATCCATCAAAGTTTGCCAACTTCTAGGTTTACAAGTTGCCTTGGGGACTGAGACTTGTATGGAACTGTTGGGCAGACGCTAGACAGAGCAGTAATGACGGAGCTTATTTAGGAATCTGGACACGAAGGAATAAATGAATGATAATCCGACTGATAAGCTATCACAAACTGCAGGACCGCGTTTTGCGTCATACGAACCATCTAGTAACAACTAGCACAGAGCACGCATAAATTTTGTATCCAAACTTTCTTCCTAAGCCGATGATATAAATAAATACTTAGTGCTTATCAACCGTCGTCGATTACCTCACCTTTCAGGAACATTTGTTATGTAAGTAGAGTGTAAGGAGGATTTAATTCAATAATTAGCCATCGATCCTAGTTGATATCGATTGATATCAGAGAGGACTTTGTTACTACTAACTTCTGTTTCAAGTAGATAGATATTAATTTGTATAAACCTTTGACAGTTCAAGCCCTAGTTTAACAAACACTTGAAAATCCTCGATTGCCCACAAGTCGCCAGCAGCGACATTGCGTTTTTTTTACCTACCCATTATATCATATCATCGTCGTTTATTATTTACTAGAACTAAGAAGCAGGTGACGATACACGCAGAGTTAGATCAAATCCCTTTATTACGAAATCAGCAAGTAAACAAAAGTGTGAATGACATAGTACACAAGTACATTTGCATTGTAAAACACTACCCGACTTTGAAAACGATTAAGTAGTGCAGAGAATACTGAGAAGTAGGCACCGAGTTGAGTAGAGAGATTGGAACTCGATAAAAATTAGGGTTAACCTTGAGGGCACTTCTTAGAGTATACAGTTAAGATACTGATTAGTTGAATAAGAGTTGATTGTAGAATCGTGAGCAATGCAGCAAACCAGTACGACACATTTCTGTTGTCCTAAAATTGTTTTTGATAGGTTTTTTTTCAAATAGTAAGACGGAAAACGATAGCAAAGTGCACAGACCTCACAACACTCATACGATCGGCTCGCTCGAAATTCGAGCGCACCAATTCGTAGTATTGGCCATCGCTGAGCACTATCGAGTGCAGTTTCAGACACTTCATACGCAGAACATCGATGAATTTACTGAAGAAGCGCCTGGATAGTTTGCTGTGGGAATCAAAAGACATAGTTAACAGCTTGATTGGGAACCTAAGGTGCTAAACAGACTCTACCACTCACCACATCCTTAGCAACACTGGTAAAGTTTAGCACGTCAGTTTTTTTGTCGAAAGACGTACCATTTTTGTTGGTTGTGCAAAATGCTTTAATACCACTTCCAGAATGGCCTTTATTAGAATACGCTTTCTTATTTTTCTCAGATAGAAGAAATCAGTTTGGATTTTAAGAGCAAAGGAGTAAAAGGAGTCCGCAGGTAAATATGGGTCAAGAAATTCTTGAATTTATTTGCCGCCCATGCACCACTTCTTGATCACTAGGATGGAAGGCTGTTTCTCATTTTGAATGAGCAAAAATCGTGGATTCCAAACAGACATATAATCACAAGAAAGCCTCGCAGAACAGAAGAGATCTTATTGCAGAATGGACGGTACGCACTGGAACCTCACCTTGATTTGTCGGAGAACCTCAGCGTATCGTCATCCCAGCGAATTTCTAATCGCGTTAGACGAGGGCAGTTCTGAGCGATACAGTCGATGAACTGATCGACATGAATTTTCGCAGCTACCTTGGTACAGCAGTCCTCGGCGATACCCATCACAACAACCCTGAAATTCTTTGTTGAATCTCTCGAAAAACTTTTGGTATTGTGCTGCAATACGAGTGTGTGCTTCAAGTGAGTCTTAGAATATGATTATCCCAAGAAACAGTGTATCAAGTTCTTCGGCTAAGTAAAGACTTTTCAAAGTTAAGAGAAAAAATACCAACTGAAATGTACTGCTGGATTACACAGATATTCTTTAAAAACATCGGAACAACACGTGGATGATCTGTGCGATGGGTCATCGCAGATTCGTATTCAACAAAGAAATTCACTGCCGCATTATGTGTTACTTTCTTCGAAAAAATAATTCGAAGCCGTTTTTTAAAGGCATTGAAAATACAAGTAACTCCCAGGTCCGACTTTCTAATAACCTCGGCACTGATTGAATAATTCTTTCTACTTCTGTTCAGCAAACACGAGGTGTTATTTTATTTCTTTATTTGCGTACAAGCTGACGTTTCGGAGGATTTCGCCTTCCTCACAGTCTGGAAAGGTCAAGTTGACTACAATCTACACGGCCAAACACCTCCATAACCAAAGACAGAAAATGCTGAACCAAAATTTCAATCACATTGATTGAACACAGAGTCTTTGCACACTCACCGCTTTCTATGAGTCTTCCACTAAACATGTCACGTGGAGACCAACCGCACAAAGTTAACACGGAATCGTATTGTGCCCATCTCATCAAAATAACAGGCTTATATACTGCTCAATATCACGCGTGATAATGAGGCACTCCCCCCTGTGGTTCATTTTCGGACTCCTGGAATTAATCCAGAATGCCTCTAGAGTTTTGCGCGCTTGTGTTCTCGAATCTAGCGCGAGAATCGCAACCTTTGCTTTAAAATCTTCTCTGTTATGTCTCTGCGTCCTATTCGTGCCTAGTGGAGTATTTGGTTTACGTCTGCCGACTAAGTGTTCTTTTATACGCACGCAGAGTGGTCTACCCGTTTCGTCAACGTATTCGTCCCCGCACGCTTTACAAGAGATCAGATAGACTGTACCCAAACTCATGCAGTCACCATCTCTACCATTGGGGCAAATTGTGCAATTTTGCGTTGCACATAGACGGTCGGCGGTTACGAAGTAGCTGGCGTCTTAGATTACTCGGTGGCATTTCAATTATCGTTGCCGAATTCTCTAGATCGGCTCTTCTTAAACAGCGTTTTGTAGCTGCACTTACTTCATTTGAAATGAAGGGCAGTATAAGCAGGACCTTATTGTCGCTAGTGTAATCGTTAGGGTACCTGTGGTTTCCTCTACACCTACCTCGAGCTACAGTTTCGTTTCCATTAAAAATGGCTATTTGCCACGTCAAGTTCCGGGACTCCTTCGATACCATTTCGTAATGTAGCCGTTTTCTGATAGGTTGATTTGCACGTTCAGAAATGGAAGCCAGTTTCCTTTCGGTTTTTCTCGGGTGAACATGATATACTTTGAGTGTTCATTCAACAACTCGAAACATTCGCCCATTTCCTCTTGTGGTGAGCAAAGGACCAGGCAGTCATCTGTACAAAAAGTTGGGGCAATACCAGTACCACCATTTCCTCAACCGTTCTTTAGATAACAAGAGCCCAATAATGAAGTTGACATGACATTTCGGGCGTTTACGAATGAAACTTTCAAGGTCCTTAATCACTATCACGCCAAGAGATACTGCCCCAACCTCACTGAAATACAAAAACGTGGTATGCGGAAGGTACGAGAGCTGATAAGGTCGAAAAAAATAGGACTACCAGTTAGTGATAAGGGTGGAGAGTTTGTTGTAATTCCCCATCAGTTAGATGTTGAGATAACGGAAAAGCACCTAGAAGATGCTTCCCTTTATCGTCCGTAGTCCGAGAAGGGATTTAAAACTCTACCGAAAGTTAAACAACGAATGGGTTAAAATGGCAAGAGCGGCTGGGTTAAAACCATCAGTTATCTCTCATCTCAAAGTTGACTTACCAGCATGTCCTGACCTCTACTTATCAAAACCCATAAGTTAGTATCCATCGATAATCTCGTGTCTACCGATCCATCATTATTTAAGGTTAGACCTATCATTAGCTGCGTGGACGGGCCAACGGATAGAAGAACGTGGTTAATAACTCTAATACTCACCCAGTTGTTAAAGTACAGCCTAGCCCATCTAACGAAGACCCAAATGTTCCTGCATCGTCTACGTAACGCGCTACCCAACAGCGCGTACGTGATAGAGTCCTTCAACGTCACCGCCTCTATACAAACGTGTCGAATGACTCCGCTATGCAAGCCATCCGCGAGCACCTTATACAACACGAAGGAGCAATAAACATGTATGGCTTCTCGATTCAGCAGCTTATGCTCCTCTTCCTGCTTCCTGCTGCTAAGGTCTGCTAAACTGGTCGATCGTCAGATGGTCCGGGAAATATTACGCGCAAATTAGAGGGTTGGCAATGGGACAGCGACTGGCACCAACCCTTGCCGTTGCCTTTATGTCTAAAGTGGGAGCACCAGTAGTCGATCACAGGCCATTACTCTACTGTAGGTATATAGATTGTTTTGTCATCTGCTCCACACAAGAGGAGATGGACAAATGCTTTGAGGTATTGAACCAACAGTCAGAGCACGTAAAATTCATCCGTGAGAAAGCGGAAGAAAACTGGCTTCCATTTCTAAACGTTCAAATCAACCTATCCGAAAACAACTACAACACAAAATGGTATCGAAACCCAAGCCGCAAGAATAAAGTGGCTCATTACCTCTCCTCTCATCTCTCACACACTAAAAGGGTGCTTATAAGAAATATTTTCGAACAGCTACCAGCGTGTGCACAGTAAGACAGCAGAGGAGTTGCGGAACTTGGCGTGGCAAATAGCCATTTTTAATGGAAACGAAACTGTAGCTCGAGGTAGGTGTAGAGGAAACCACAGGTACCCTAACGATTACTCTAGCGACAATAAGGTCCTGCTTATACTGCCCTTCATTTCAAATGAAGTAAGTGCAGCTACAAAACGCTGTTTAAGAAGAGCCGATCTAGAGAATTCGGCAACGATAATTGAAATGCCACCGAGTAATCTAAGACGCCAGCTACTTCGTAACCGCCGACCGTCTATGTGCAACGCAAAATTGCACAATTTGCCCCAATGGTAGAGATGGTGACTGCATGAGTTTGGGTACAGTCTATCTGATCTCTTGTAAAGCGTGCGGGGACGAATACGTTGACGAAACGGGTAGACCACTCTGCGTGCGTATAAAAGAACACTTAGTCGGCAGACGTAAACCAAATACTCCACTAGGCACGAATAGGACGCAGAGACAT